ACACACACACACACACACACACATATATATATATATATATATATATATATATATATAAAAGCAAATAATAAAATGTGAATACAATATTTATTTTCTTAACACATCATCCAAAAGTAAAAACTATTGCTTCATAGTAGTATTAAACATGATTTTTCAAAACAATGAACATTAAAAATGAATTTATCACAATATAATTAACTTACTGACTGGTGTAATCAAAAGTTTGTTTTCTTGTTGGGAGGTGACAATTTGTGAGTTGGAACCATCCATACGTGACATATAAATAGCATGCTGATTTGTTTCTTCTGCAGACCAGAATAACAATCTAAAGGCAAAATATGAACAGTAAAGCAACTTTAATACAGAGAGCAACCATAATACATGTTGTTGTTGATAATATATTGATGACAACTTATATTGGCTAGAGCTCACCATAAGTTAACTATATTAACATTTATTCTACTTATTCCTTCAAAATTTCTTTTTCTTTGTCAAACAGCTTAATCTAAGCTACTGGAATGTTAAATCTAACAGATATCAATAACAATATCAATTTAAGAAATTTATTCAGTCAACCTATAGTAATTCTTTGATGATAATACACGCATACATTTGAAGAAGATTTTGTAGCTTCATTGGTTTCAGCGCTTTGAAAGTAAATTTAAAGTTTGCGAATCTGGTCTGGATTAAAAAAAAATCCTATGTTTTTCTAGGTATCAGTGTTTCAATTTACTTGTAAGATACAAAAGAGAGATGTTATTTGGCATGAAACTTGTTAGAAGTGATCAGAAGCTGTGTTTATAAAAACCTGGCTTTAAACAGAGTAACTGGCTTAGCACTGGTTCCCCCTCCCTCCAAATCTTACTATAATTTGAGAGAAGTTTATTTGTCCTCTAACTCCTTCTAAGCTCTTGCAATTGGAGTTTTTGAAATTAACCAGGATGTTTCAAGAAGAAGCTATTTTCTTTCAAAATGCACAGATTTCATAGCTCCAATGTTGGCTAAGTATTGACCAGTCAGTGGGGGTGGCCTCTAGGGATACTGATGGTATATCTCCAGTTTCTTCTTTCATTACATGTGGTATGTATATATATATATACATATATATATATATATATATATATATATACAGTCTATCTAATTTCAATCATTACTGGCATACTAAGAGCAAAAACAGAAACAATATTTATATTCATAACTTGTAAAACATTAGTTTTCAAATCCCATCAATCATTTGACAGATTTCTTATTACACATTGTATACACACTAATACTAAGTGAGATATTTTAAAGTCACGTGTTACTTATTGCTTTTTGATAAAAACATAAAAAATAAAATAAAATATTACTTAAATACTGAAGCTCGGTGGACATGAATAATTTCACTGTCATGTACTTTCAATCTTTATAGTGTCACTGGCATAATTCTGACAAAAATAAACTTTCACATGGATACATTTGCTAGTACTTATAAAATAAATAAATGTTTTACACTATACAGAAATTCTGTAGTTTTTATGGTAATGACTACATTTAGAACTAAGCATGTGAAGCTACAATACTGATGTCTGATCAATACAGTTACTATTTTATATAATTGTATAATATATATATATATATAAAGAAACAAATTTTTAGTATTTTAGAAATTAAATATATATATATATATATATATATATATATATATA